TATAGCCAATATAAAAGTACTTTGCAGATGAACATCTTTATCATCCTTATGAGTAATAGCTATTCTCATCAATGAAGCTTTCTTCGCATGAATTACATGATTCTTATGATATTGTCCTTTGAATGAGAATATTAGATCAATGATGCCTTCATTTATGTTGTGTTTAGACACAGCATATTGGTTTGATCTGAGGCATGTATGTGAATATTCATTAACTGGATTTCTTAGGTGAAATATCCTCTTTATAGCTCATGTCAAATTATGTGGCAAAAATAAGCACACCACACCAACTTCATACTGCCTATTTGAAATCATGGCAATCAGAATTGTAGGTAAACTTGGAAATCTTCTCTCTCTCTCTCTCTCTCTCTCTCTCAGTCATGGGCTTGAACTCAGGGCTGGGGCACTCACTGTCTGTGAACTTTAAAAAAAAACAAAAACAAAAAATAAAATGCTCTATCACTTTGAGCCACAGGGCCATTTCCTTTTCTCTGGTAGTGAATTGATATAAGAGTCTCGTGGACTTTTCTGCCTGAGCTGGCTTTGAATAGGGTTCCTCAGATCTCAGTCAGCTGAGTAGCTAAGATTACAGATATAAGCTACAGATGCCCAACTTAAGTTGAAAAAAAAATCCCCTGTGTGTGACTATTGCACTGTCCTCTAATGAGTCTCTCTCTCTTAATCTTGGCAGCGCTGCTTTCTCTATGGTGGGGCCTACAATTTCTTTTGAAAGACAAAATATACTATTTACTTTTAAGCCTATAAAGACTTTTCCCTCCTCCTAACCCCAACTCGAAGCTTAAGCTCTTTAATATGTCGCTCCTTCTTTGTTTCCTTACCTGTCTTCCAAATCATAGTACTTAGAGCACCAAAGAGGTCAATGTCTGTTGTGCTCACAGTTTATTCTCAGCTTTGAGCCTTTCACCTCAAACTTGTTGCATGAATCCATGCATTTAGGATGTTTATATTCTGAGTAAAATTTTTGGGCCTGCTTTTACTATGGCTATGCTTTTGCCCAGTATATGCACATCATGTTCCTAACTTAAGGGAATTTAACTTGGCAGAGAGTATTATTGGAGCCACTTGGTGTGTGGCACATTATTATTCAATTGCATTTCCCCTGGTGCAAAGCTGGCAGGCTGCTCTTCTGTGACAGATGTGCTTGCCTTGGTTGAGTCGCCACCACCAGGCGGATTATCAGTTTTACTAATGTTTGCTCTTTTATACTCTAACAGGTAGCATGATTCATCCAGTCCATAGATGTCAGGTGTCTGCTGCAGGAATAAATCTACACTGCTAGTAAGGTGTGCACAAAATTTGTGGGGAGAACGTAAAAACATGATTATTGCATGCATGCATCACACATGCATACATAAACAAAGGTAATAGTACCCCAGGGAATCACAGTCAAAGAGACAATCTATTCATATTCATTGTATTTCATAGAATAAAATTAGGTGACAAGGCTTGCAATGGATCTTTCATCAGCGGTTGACAAACACCAGTTTGCGAATCTGTATTTGACTGGCACTACCGTGTCACCAAGAGATACTTTTCATATACAGATTCCTGGAGTCAGAATGGCCACATTCCCCCAGGGAACCTCTGGTAGGACCTGGGAATTAGCAGTTTTTCAATCTGAAAAACTCTACAGTGGATTTGAAGGAGCTGTGATAGTTGAGAGCCCTTGCTTTTGTGCAATGCCCACCTAAAATGAGGAGAGTCGTGGTAAGAGTCATTTCTTGAAGATCTATATTCAAAGATTCTGAGGCAGCTTCATGAAAATTGCAATTACAAGAGTGGTAATGGGGAGTGAGCATGAGGGAATGTGCATTACATACATGTGTATTCATTTTCATTCACATATGTGTGCATTGCATACATGTATGGAAGTTTCATGCTGAAACAAATTAAAATATACAGTGATTCCATGATTAATGATGGATGCCTTTACTGAGCTTGCAGGGAAGGAGAGCCTGTGTGTGCCATGGATTTGTTGACCCTAATGGTGTCTCACCATCTTATTTCAATCTCATTATAATATTGCTCTATGGTGACTGCATTATGTCCCTTAGAATATTTCCAATAGAAAGAAAGTTTTGATGTTTTGAGGGATTATAATCCCTCTTCTCTTGGTGTTTTTCTATTTGAAGGTTCTAGTTTTTGTTTCATTTGCAACATGTGAAAAAAACTGCCCTTCAGTATATTAGTGCATCTTAATCTATAGGGGGTAGTCTGGGACATTGAAAGAATTAAAAAATGATGGTTTCTATTATTTGTTTTTCTGAACATTCAATGTGGAATCCTTTCTATGACAGGTAATGGCAATAATGTGTTTAGGTACATTTGCATGACTAAAATTCAGTATAAGCAAAATCCACTTTATGCTATATACTCAGCTAGACCCAAGGTATGCACTGGTGAATACACAAAAATTCCCATCATCATGAATTCACAAGACAGGAGGGGAAATGTTAAATAACAATCATGTGAGCTAATAGCTAGTGTGCAAAAAATCATATAGAGTTCTCTATTAGATGTCCATCTAAGTTATTTGTTAAAATAAAACTGTGTTTGAGTAGGCAAACATTATGTTATATTTCTGCACTGCATATTTCTCTCAGTCTTAAAGAACCTCGGAAAATGATGTCTCTCTCCATGTTTGAAAGACTAGCACCAATACTTACCATGTAGGGAAATACTGACAGATATGAAGAATTACATGCCATACAAGGAGAAGATACCTCATTGTTCTTCTATCTATAGTACTATGTTCAGTGAGTTCCATAGAACAGCCTTCAATAAGTATGATGAATACGTACATCCAGCCATGTGTTTCAAGCTCAGAAAGCATATGGGTGTTCATTCACTGGACTAAAAGGTACTCTGAAAGGACCACCTTAAGTAAGAAAGAAAAACACTATTTTCCTTGTTTGACCCATTCAGTTCTAGTTCAGTACCCTGTAGTTTCCCATGGACAATAACACCAGAGTAAACCATTGAGATGTAGCCATATCCATTTGATATTTTGGCACAATCTCCACTGGGAAGTTTGTTTTATGTGAAATGGACAAAATGTGATTGCATGGGTATAATTGTGTGTGCATGAGTGTATACATGCATACATGTATTTCTGTGTGTTTCATCAGATTTTATAACTGGTCAGTGGTGACAGAGCTCAATTGCAGGTCTTCTGTGCTATAAAATCTGTTTGGTAAAGCAGGACCTCACAGACAAAAGACAGCATAAACTTTTGTGCTGTCAATTGTGCTACAGCAAGACACAATGTAATCTGACTTTCCACCTGTCCAAATAGTCCTTTATATCTTTTCATCACAGTGCATAATTATCTAGCTTTAATAAAGAGATAAAAAGATTACATTTCTGGGGCACAAATAAAACATACACTATATATACCTTGGTTTCATTTGTTTGATAGCTTATTTTTTGTTTTTGTTTATTTTAGTTAATTCAAGATATTGCAGAGAGACAAAAAAAATGAACAAAAAGAAAGAAAAAAAGAAAAAAAAGGTTTCAGGACTAAAGTATTATGGAACTTAATGATGAAACTCAAAAGGGAATATATAACTAATCATTCAAAAATTGAAGGTAAATTATTAACTGAACATTACCCTGTAAGGAAGGGCATAAGGGTAAAGTAGTCAAGATATATTTCTGTCCTTAATGGAAACAGAATTTATAATGGCATAGTTTGATTTTATATATATGTGTGTGTGTGTGTGTACATATGTAGATATATATGTACATATGTACACACACATATCTATAGATATATAGATGTGTGTGTGTGTGTGTGTGTGTGTGTGTGTGTGTGTGTGTGTGTGTGTGTGTGTGGCTTAGAATTCTGGTCCAATTGAATTCCATTCAATTCTGAATGGGAATTGTACAAACATGAGCAAGGAATAAGTGTGAACCTGTGATATGGAAAGGCATTCAGAGAAAGAATAAATCCAGCTCCATGGTTCAGCAAGATAACAAAATATCTGGGTAACCAAGAATCTAGAGAGTCAAAGGTATCAAGCACCTTACTCAGTTGCCACACAAAAATATGACTCTGACAATTACAGGCTATGCAATGGGCTGACAGAACCTCCCCAAAAGCAAATTTAACTGCTATAGAGAGTGACATAAGCGACATATAACTGGGAAAAGAGCAATATGGATTTGTAACATGAGATAGGATCCATGGACAAGTCTAGTATTGTTCACAGGAGGTGTAGATAATTGACAAGTCAGGCAGGTTGCTAATTCAATATGATTATGAGAAAGATGGATAAAAGAATCTTTCTTGGTACAAGATAACTTAGTCTTTAGTTATCAGCTTCTCTTGTTTGCTTTATTTGTATTTGCTTTTAAAGTTTAACTTCATTTTGTTTTTACCTAATTCATAAAACCAAAGATATACATATAAATTAAATTTCATGATTTTGACACAATATATTATATGTTTAAATCAATTTAATCATATCTATTTTCTCAAGTATCTGCCATTTTTATGGTGAATATTCACAGATCTTTCTACTAACGTTTGAAATATATGGTTGGTCCTTTTTCACCGATTCTAATTACCACACCATGCTATAAATAGTATTTCAGAACTTCCTCACCTAGCTTTTGTTTAAAATAATTTTAAAAACTTGTACTTATATAAACCTGTCAAATGGTTAATTATTAATCAGGCTTTTATTTCCATCTAGGAACCACTATTTTTAATATGTTGTGCAGGTTTGATATTTAAAACACATTTGGGTACAATCCAGTTGAACCCCAAACTATAACTTTTCATTTTTATGTAATTTTTTCTTGTTCTGGTGTGAGTCTTCACTTTTCCATTCAGAATACCATCTTCCTCAATGGAGCGATCAAAAGTGTCGTTTACATTTTTGTTCTTTCCTTTTCTTTTTTTCATTTTAAACAATCCAACTTACTGTTTGAGCCAATCTCAATGCACACCCATCACTTCAAACGATTATAGGGTTCATACTCCTTCTTACAGGTACTTAAATTCATATTGGACAATTAGTTCTGGGTTGCAAAAGATGATTTATTTTTTGCACCTATCAGCAAGTCTCTATTACAAATTAAACAATGACACACACACAGATACACACAGATACACAGACACACATACAAACAGACACACACACACACACACACACACACACACACACCTCACTCATTTTGTAACCACAAAGACCCATGAAGGGTGCCAAAGGCTGTTCCAAGTAATCATATCAAAGCTCACTGAAATAAAACTCCTAATCCTTTACTCCTTTACTTGTAGGATAGGGTACCATTTTCATTTAATATGTTAACTTTCTATGTGATGTCCTATTAAAGTGTCTAATGTTTGGAAATTGGGAAACTGGTGAAACAGAAAATTCAATGGCTCCTCCTCTACCTCTGTTTAAGAGTCTCCCTAAAAAAGATAAAAATCAAACAGCCAAATTTCAGAGCACCATTTCAGCAGCCACTTATTGAGTATCATAGACTTGGATATAGGAAAGAGAATTATGAGACGGATCAAAGTTCAAGTAGCAGTGGTAGAATTTCTGTTTTAAAACAATGTCTAATATTTACATGGAGCTTACTGTGGGTCAAACAGCATTGTAAGACCTAATATATATTTACTCATATAACCATATGAGTCACAGAGAAGATATTATTAATATTTCCTAAACTACAAAAAAGAATATAAATCAAGAAAGGCTAGAGATTTTGTCTAAAGATGCATGGCTAATGTAGTGCAGATATGATGGTTTCGAATCTTACTGAAGGTACATATATTTCCAGTCACTGTGCTTTCCTGGGAATAGGTAATTTGTCCTCACCAAGTAGCAATATAAATCCTTACTTGCTGCTGGGTTGCACATCTCATTCACTTTTACATGCATTCATCTGCTAATTGTTCACAAAATAGTGAGGAAATGGTACAAAACCACTTAGATTTTTTTCTTCCCTCCTTGATGATTTAAAAAAATGTATAAAAAGTAATTTGATTTCAACAAGGCTCATTTTTCTCCTACAGATAGAATTCCCTAGGAGAGATACAAAGCATTAGGTAGTCTAATCACTACATACTCACATCTTCTATGGATTTATTTACTGACAAAGAAATGAGAGTCAAGCCTTATGAAACTAAAATATTTAGTGTAACCCAAGGCTAATCCCTAAGAATTTTCTATTCACTGTTCTCACAGCCCCATCTAGTCCTGTAGGTCACCTTGGAATTCATACAGACTCAATGAAAACAAATATAACCCTTTCTGTTTCTTGGATAAAAGAGTCATTATTATTTGTATTGCTAAAGCAGTATTTGGAGAATAGATACCTCAAAATGTGATTACTCAAACACCCTTTATTCTTAAAGTCACATAAGAGTAGTTTATGTCCTCAGAGAAATCAATTAATTTCCCTTTTTCAATATGGGTATCCTTCTGGCTTGTGTAGCAAGTGCAATCTCATTTTATTATTATATTAAACCAATAATAACATTCCAAGCATTCTCTTGGCAGGGAGCAATAAAAAGAGGCAGCATCCTGTGTTAGATAAAATCTGTCATTATATACGACCAAAATGCCACAGATTTTGCGATGGTGAAATGTATTTGTGCATTTTACACATGTGATGTGAATCACTTTAAAAGCCATCATCACAACACAATGGATGCTAATAAATTTTCAATCTGTTAGGCTTTGTTTTGTGGAGAATGAATTTGATTTGCGATACAAATGTTGCATGGGTTACTGTGTTTAGCCATGGAGATTATGGGAGGTCTGTTATTCTAACCTCTAGGGTGTTTTTGACTCTCTGATAAGGTTTACAGAGAATCTACTTCTTCGTGTTCTTCACTGTAATAGACCCCTTCACCTGCCTGAAACTCTCTTAGGACTCTCCAGATTTATGATGTTAAGAAGTATTTAATAAAAATCTCAATATTCCATTAGACAAAATTTACAAATGTACCATTTGGAAAAAAGAAAAGAGAGAGAAGCAGACAAAAAAGAAAAGAAGAAAGAAGGAAGGAAGGAAAGAAAGAAAGAACAAAAGAAAGAAAAGAAAGAAAGAAAGAGAAAGAGAGAGAAAGAGAGAAAGAAAAAGAAAGAAAGAAAAAATAGCAAGGCTTGGGAAATTACATTATATGAAGTAAGTCAGGCCCAGAGAAATACAGGATCCATATTTTCCTCTATATCTTGAAGCTAGATTATAAACACTTAAGTAAATAAGTTGATTGATAGGTATGTAATACTTAAAATATTGCAAAGTTGAGAGAGAATTCAAATAATGTAGTTCCTTAGAAAGGCAAAGTTAAAGTTCAACAACAACAACAACAAAATACCACTTAAAGTAATGGAGTAGAGTTAAAGGGAAAGAATAGGAAAATGAAAAGGAGAACATGGAGAGAACTACCATTTAAAAACAATGCAAATAAAAAAAATACATTCTAATATAAACAAGTCTCAGTCTTCTGTAGGATTATAGAACCAACAAGGTATTAGTATTAGTCCTGAGCTATGTTCCCATCTTTCCATTGCTTCATTTTCAGAAGTGTACTTTCAGCTAATCCTACTTGGTTCCTGTAAATAAGGAAGACATTTTCCCAAAAGGGAATGTTTTGAGGCAAGTGGAAGTGAGATGACTATTGTCCAGAAAGAGGAATCAGCTTACATAAAACATGAAAGGGCTTGTTATTGGATGTGGAATTTAGAGGTGTGAGGACAATGGATAGAATTATTTGGTTTTTGGCACTATAATTGATCAGTCTTGAAGCAACAATGGCCAAATGGATCTGATTCTTAGTGAGCAAACCAGTCTAAGAAGAATCATGAGAAGAGAAAGAGAAGTTGGTCAAAAAGTAAAAGCGCCTGAGAAGAGTAAGAGTCAAATACGAGTTAATCCTCAAAAAATGGAGAGACAGGTTCCTCAGTTCCAAAAAATTTCTACTTATAGAAAAATATTCTTTGATTTCCCTCAGCAATATTTTGTAGATTTGGGTTAGTTCTTAGATGATCATTATCAAAAAAGAATCATTGCTAATTTCTTAAATGGCACTAAAAATAGAATTATTTTATTTTTGTTTGGAAAGTTTTTTTTCTGATAGGTAAAATAAAATGGATATTTCAATTGTTCTTTTATGTTTAAATCTTGATAAATCTATATGTTAATTTGAATGTTTGTTTTGTTCAGCCTTGGGACTTTCTATGTAAACAAACTATGTCATCTGTCAGTGCTCATTTAATATGATGCAGAATGATCGATCTTCTTGTGCCCTCAGTGGAAATGCATCCCAGGCAAGAAAGAGGTGAAATGGAATGGAAGAAAGTGCTAGAAAAAATGGTACCTAGCTTTACTGGATGTAGATTCAAAAGTTCAGACTTTTACTCATTCATTTAATTCTGTGTGGGATAACAAAGGCAAATGTCCAGAATTAGATGGACATCAATTCAGTTATCTTTTCTCTTTTCTTAAAAAGAATCAAACAGCTTCTTTTTCTGTTAAAATTTAATAAAAGACAATCACAGTGTCTTCTATAGTTCTCCTTAATTATCAGATTTTCCTAATCTTCCTTCTTAAAGAAGAATTTTTAGCCACAGAGTCTTAGACAAAGAGATTTATTTCCAACTGCATTGTTTGTTCTTACTATGGCAGCAACAAAGGCTAATTTAATAAGCATCTGGTAGCTGTGGAATTTAAAATAAAAGAAAAACTCAAACAAGTTTAGTCAGTCAGTTACCTGGTTGGTTCCACTGGTCTCATGTAGTGCCAACACTGGTACAGCCAAATGTATCCAGTGACTTCTTCCTCCACTTAACTGTTCCAATAATTCATTGTTAAAAGTATTTCTGTGTTTATCCAATTCAGCAATGGTTCTCATCAGGAAAACTCGCAAGAGGCTGAAATATAAGGAGAATAACAATGTGCTAATTTGCACTGAGAAATATAAATCTAACATAGATTGAGTTTCCTGTCAGCCTGGAAAGTACATTTTCTCCCAATAGACCAGATAAGTGGAAAGATAAATTAGCAGAGAGTAGACTTGATCGGCATGAGATTGAGACAAGACAGATGAGTTTATATGACGTAAATGTCTAATTGCTTCAATTTAATACACCCGGATGTGTCCATCTCAACAATGGGCGTACCTCAAAAACCACACGGGTGATATTTTTAGGCTTATGATGGTCTTTTCCTGAGCAGGACAAGTGTAATGATGCATTCATACTTCTTCCGTTGTAGAACAAATCTGACCTATTTTTACACATCCTTTTCCTAGCTAGATCTTTTCTTACCTTTCATTAGGTTACTGAACTAATTAAGAACAATACTATATTTTAATGTTCCTTTGCATTTTCCTTCTTATAACTATCCTGAGTTGGGTTTGGTGTTTGGTGGCTCACATTTTGGCAAATGATTTCATCTACATTTATTTCGTTGCCATTGGAGTATTCTGCTTTATGTTCAAATGCATGCAATACACATTGCTTAGAATGACTTGTAAAAGGTCTGGAGAGGTCAGTGTTATCACTCCATTCTTTTTAAAAATTTTTCCACACATGAAACTTGGAGCACTGAATTTAGGTAAATTCTTCATTGTCAGTTGACAAATGTCAATTGAGTATTTATGAAGTGGTAGGTGTGGCGAGAAATAAGATAATAATAAACTGCATATACATTTTACAGGAATACACAGATGATTAAATTTAAATGTCTGATACATTTAACAAACTCCTCATACTGTGCAAATACTAAGAAGCTTGGTTAACTTGAAGCTGATGAATAAACAAATAAGTGAATGAATGGTTGAGTATGCACGGTTTTCTTCATCCAGCTCTATATGTTAAAGACATGACAGGGATTTTTGTTCTAATTGAGATTCATTCTATTTAATGAGTGAATCACCAAATAAATGAAGGAATGAATATGCATGATTATTTATTTTTAAATAATTTTATTATTTTTAAGTAGTTGTACAAAGGAATTGCCATTCACCAAAGTAGTTTATAAATGTAGCACATCTTCATTTCTGTCACCCTTTTCAACATTCTTACCTACCCCTTCCCTTGCTTATCTTAATGTTAGGTAATATATTTAATTTTTTTGACTTTTA